AAAAAAAAAAGTGTGGGCAGAGCTCCCATTTCCCTCCTGTGTTTTATGATGCAGGCTTCTGAGAAATGAAATATATTGCTCCTTGGTGGACTGTATTTTTCTTATCAGGCATCCATAATCAATATTTATCTAAGGGGAATGCTTTTATGAAGCTTAGTATGGTAATTTATTAACTTTATAAACTGGGATAAATGATATGAGTTGGCAAATTATCTTTTTAAAAGAAATAACAGGTAAGATGATTTAAAATTCGGGAATACACTTTTGGATATACATTTGAAGAAATTGAAGTCAGGATCCCCAAGAAATATCTGCACAGCCATATTCATAGCAACATTATTCACAATTACCAAAAGGTAGAAGCAGCCCAAGTGTCCAATAACACAAGCATGGATAAACAAAATGTGGTATATACGTACAACAGGATAGGATTCAGCCTTAAAAAAGAAGGAAATCCTGCCATTTGTGAAAACATAGATGGATCTTAGCTCATTATGCTACGTGAAATAACCCAGACACACAGAAGGACAAATACTGCGTGGTCCCACCTCTATGACGAATCTAAAATAGTCAAATTCATAGAACCAGTGAATAGAATAATAATTACCAGGGGCTGCAGAGAAGGGGAAATGAAGAAATGCTGGTCAAAAGCTATAAAGATTCAGTTAGGTGTGATGAATAAGCTCTGAATATCTACCGTACCATAAAAAACCTGTATTTAACAATATTGCAATGTATACTGTATTTTGTTATATATAATGCATACTTTTTGCCCAGATTTTTGAGAGAAAAATAAGGATGTACATTATACATAGGTAGTACTAATTCTGCATCTATATAAATGTTTTTTAATTCTTTTATTTATGCTTACGTGTTAAAAGTATAACTCTAGAAAGCAATGACGGTCTCCATATGCAAAGTAATACCCTGGAAAAACAAGTATACACAAATAAAAATTTGAGTTAAAAAATTAAAATGAAAGATTTTTTTTCCCGAAAGTTTGGGCCAAAAACATGGGTGCACATTATACATGGGAGTGCATTATACATGGCAAATGTGGTACTTAAACATTTGCTAAGAGAGTGGGAGTTATGTTAATTGCTCTTAACACAAGAGAAAAGATCTTTTTAATTAAACAAGCAGCAGTGGGGGGAACGGAAACTTGGAGGTAACACACAAGTTTATGGCCTGAGTATCTGTGGTCTCATAGGTATATAGTCATCTCCAAACTCATCAAGCTGTGTATGTTAAATATGTACAGCTCTTTGTATGCCAATCATATCTCCTGGTTAAAAAATAAAGAAATAGAAACCACTGATAATCCTAGCATCCAATGATGCTGTTACTAATATTTTATTAAATTTCCTCTAGCCATTTTTCAATGAGTGTGTATATGTTGGTTTGTGTATGTAAGTATACATGCCCAAATATATGATTTGTATGTTTTGCTTAAGTAAGTTAGTTCCCAAAAGGCATGTTTTCCTGTGGGTTGAGTACTGGGGCACTTATGAAAAGATGTGTGTTGTTCATCTTTGGTATGGCATCTTTTTAGTTTGCTGTTAGGGCTGGATTCCTTCTTGTGGCTCTCTTCCACATGTACAGCCAAGATAGGTTTGTATATGTGACGTCAGATGGAATGCACTTCATTTTAGAAAACTGGAGTTGTTGATTCCTTGGCTTGAGGTACCCCCTTCCCTTGAAATCTCTATCCCCTTTGTATCCATTCTAAGAGGAATGGACCTCTATGCTGACCCATCCTCAAGCATAGAACAAACAGAAATAAGGAAAGTATATATTCTTAATGTGTTTCATTTTTCTTTCTTTCTTTTGTAGAAAGTATTTTGGAGAAAAAATTGGATTATATTTTGCCTGGTTGGGATTATATACATCATTCCTTATCCCATCTTCTGTAATCGGAGTGATCGTGTTTCTTTATGGATGTGCAACAATTGAAGAAGATATCCCCAGGTAAGTCAGTTTTTAAGAAAAAGCCTCCATTCCCCTGTGTTAATAATTTGGAATTTCATCTCAGTTGCAAGCACATTTCACATGCTTCCTTCCAAAGTTCTCCCCCTCTGTCCTTCTCCTTTCCTATCCCATAGGTCACTTTCCTCCTGAGACAAATCTAGGAGGTGCAGATTCTGGGAATGGGATCTCTGTGGTCAGACACTGTTGGAATAAAATGCTATGAAGGAGCAGATAGCTCTAAAACCGGGGCAGCTCAGCCTCTATTTCAGGAGGTCAGAGACTATAGGAAGTGACAGGTCTTGTGGTGGGGCCCTTGGAGAGCCAGAAGGTAGGACAAAGGAAGAAAAGCCTGCACAGAAAATACCCCCTGAAAAGCAGTACCCGTCAGGACTGACAAGATTACATATTAGCTATGTGGCTGGACAGTGGACTCCCTGAATGCTAGTTTACCCGGCTGTAAAATGATTATCATAACACCTATTTCACGGTGTTGTGAGGACTGACAGAGATGAGATTGTGTCTGGCACACAGCAGATTAATTAATAAAAGTAAATGATTGTTGAGTAATTAAAATTATGGAAATAGAGTAAAAGAGAGAAAAGGGACACTTTAATAATATTTAGAATTTAAATGTCTCGTGCTCTTTGTAACTGTCTTTGAAAATGGAAGCTTGGTAACATATTTTAATATTCTTTTAGTATTAGAGTGCTGGAAATTAAACTTGAACTAGATTAGGCAAAATGTTATACTTCTGGGAGGCTCAAGAAACCCAGTGGCTGGCATACAGGTAGCCTAAGGAACACTGGAATAGGGACTAACCTGTCTGTCTTCTGTCTCTGATCTTTCTAGTATTTATTGGTTTCACTGCAGATTTTGACAGCTCCATAGCTTCACCTGGGCTTGCCTGGGTGCATTCACAGAAAACATAGCTCTTGTGTTTCCCTTCCCAGTTGTGATCCCTAGAGATCTGGCCTCAGGTTGATCAAAACTGGGAAACTATACTGTGCTCAGTGAATCAGTGCCAGTGCAGTGGGGTGGGATGGGGCATCAGGATGCTGGTTTATATCAGGACTTAGAATTTGTGCCTGCCTCCCCACATGGGAATATACATGGCAACAACCTGGAACTGATGTGTCTTGCACATGCTGTATTGACACCTAGGCATGTGCACTTCACATGCACACACATTGACATATGTGTAGGGATATACATATGTAAAATGCAGTTGTTATCATAGTGCCTGGCAGGGCGTGCAGTGTTCTACAACTTACAGATAGCAGCCCATCTGTGGGCTGTGGAATTGGCTTAATGGGTTCATTTTTAAATGAACTTGAATAAGGCTATTGAATAAGATAGAATGAAATAAGATATTAGTATTTATTATAAGAAGGAAGTATAAATGTTATTTCATGAGATTTTATTTCTGTTACATAAATGTATTTGAGAGGGTGAGGGGGTATATGTATTTTTCATACTGGAATCTGATGTAATAAAATTCTTCCGAATTGTAGGTCACAGACAAAACAGTTTGAAATAGGCTGCTACAAAATCATGGTCAAAGGATACAAAATTTCAGATAGACAGGAGGGATAATTTCCAGAGATTTATACATATTATACAAGACAGTGACTGTACTTAATATCAATTAAAAATTTCTAAAAGAGTAGCTTTTAAGTTATTCTCATTCCAAATAAGTGATAAGTACATAAGGGAATGCAACCCCCCCCTACCTTTTTGTAATAAAAATAGCAATAAGTATTAAGAAAATACAAAATTGAAGTTTTGGTTGTTGGTTTTTCAGACTCTGGATAGGGGGTGGCAAATCAGGAAGGTGTAAAAAATGAAAAAAATAAACATTTTATGTAGATTAAAAACTCTTCTTTAAACAGAATCATATATTTATCAAGTTTTGTGGGCCTGATGGAAACTCCTGTACCTCCTCATCAACAAAGGAATGTTCCTAAAGTCCCAATATTGAATCTGAACAAATTCATACTCTTTAGGAGTCGGTGTTGAATAGCCACTCCTAAATGTGATTAAAAATTTGCGTTATTTCTGGGATGATTTTAGAGATTACTAATTCTGGCGTCAAGCCTGAAATTTATTACCACTTTTAAACAACTTTTTATTTTGAAAAAATTATAGTCTTAGGAATTTGAAAGATAATACGGAGGGCCCCGGTGTTACCCTCCAGTGGTTTCGTCTTAATCTAACTATAGTACAATAGCAAAACCAGAAAACCGACATTGATTATGTGGAACTTTAGGTATTCTTTTTTTTTCAGTTTTTGGCCAGGGCTGGGTTTGAACCCACCACTATATGGGGCCGGCGCCCTACTCACTGAGCCACAGGCACCACCTAATTATGTGGAACTTTAAATGGTACCTTTTATCCCCACCAGCTTTGGTAGGTGAGAGATGAGCATAAGCTTATAATAATAATCCCATGGTACATTTTATAAAATTTTCGTCTACTTACAAAGGGTTTGGTTTCATTTGTTAAGCACTTACTTACATGGGTAAAGAACGCTGAAATGTTAAAAAGAAGTTGATTAATCTGAACCATATTGGAAGAAAAATTGGGTCCTTTAGGTCTGAGACCTTCAAAGCAGCTGTTTAGTCTGAGTTTCTGGGGTAGTTGCCTCTTTGTACTTTCTCCCTTGGTGCTAGCACAGCCCAGCATCGCCGCACAGGTGAGCAATGGTTCTCTCTGAAGAACACTGTTCCTTCCAGGTCTTGGTCCAGCTGCTTGTCAGGCCATTTATCAACTCTCTTAATGCTTTCTCAAGAAAATGATAGATTGAAGGACTATGCCATTAGATTTATAGCCACAGTTACTTCTCACTAGAAATCTGTAGATTATGCAGCCAGGGGGTGACCTAGACGTGATTTCAATTCTGGGTGGGCGTCCCTCATCTTTCAGCCCCTCTCAGGAAACACAAAGTCATTTTAATGTCATTCATAGCCAGAATTCCTCCAGAATTCTGCTAAAATTGCATTAAAAAACCCATATATATATATATATATATAAAGCATTCTGACTTCAAATGTAAATGATTAGAGGAGAATTTATGCTGCAGAGAACGGCTGCCATTGTGTACAGATGATTGATAGCTGCCTGCATTCTGATTTAGAAACCAAGCATTTATACTGCACTTACGTTCCAAAGTGCTGTGCACCACGTTGGCAGCTAATACTTTTCTCATTTCTGACTTTTAGTACTGACTGTGACTAGATTTAACGAGAATTCAGTTAACTAGGCTCATCTCTCTCCCCAGTCCATGCTTTAAAAAATCTTGAACAAAGTGAAATCCCTAAGATACATACTTGAAGGGCAGCACTGAGGACGCCTATGTTCTCAGTCATGGCCAAAAGGCAAAGGTCTTTACCAGAATTTATGCAGACAAACAGTTTTCTGTGTAAATCTGTTTTCTAAGAGGGCACTATCTTCTCTCAAAGTAGCAATTCCTTAACTACCTAGCTAACCCTCGTCTGACCCCAAATGACCTAGAAGTCTTAACATAAACTTTGCTGTCTAGTTACCGGTAAGATCATGACCAGGTGAAACTAGTACAGCTGAAAGTAAGATGTTGCCATTTAATATTTTTGAAGTGAATGAGTCATTCTTATTGACATGTGCCAATGGAGAGCTTAACAGCCAGTCGGCGAGGAACTGGGCTTTATCCTCAGAGACTTCTGAGTTTCCATTCTCTCACACAGAAGGCCTTTCCCTGCTGGGGGATTTAATAGCTCATTAAAAACAGAAGGCTAGAAGCTAGGACTTGACAGAAAGTGACAGCCCTCAGTAAATCTTCCTTCAACTTCTTAACGAAGTGGGAAATAGACCCAGGCATTCCTTTGACTTCGCAGGTCCCACCTAAGCACTTGCTTCAGCACACAGGGCACCAGCCTGCTCGCTGGGAAGTGGCCTCCCACCTGGAAGCCCTGCTCCGTAGTGCCCTCTACTGCCGCTGTCTGTGGACGACGCAGCTGTGATTTTCAGTGCCATGTCCCCTACCTCCCCACCACTCTGTCTCCAGCTGCTCCCTGAGAACAGCAGAGGCCTTATTTTCACGTAGTCTTGGGTTCTCCATCCTTTCCCACCAAACCATGAACTCAGACACCCATCCATTTCCCTAGGAGAATATTACATGCCAGAGTGATGAATTCATTCATTTTCCTACCAGTATATGGTATGAAGGAATATTGGGGGAGCCATTCAGAGGTAGCAGTTCTGTTGGTTTTTATTTGCAAGCATTCCTATGATCCAACTAGTCACCTAACGAATTAACAAGACTTTATATGTATTCACCAGTTCATCAGAGAGAAATGTACTTGGAATAGGTTAAGAAACAGGCTGTGAGAGGTTATTTAGTGCATGCTTATCTCTCCAAGTGTTAGAGAATCTAGACCTTGGAAGAATTTACCTTGTTCTTCATAACCTATTTTTTTTCTTTTTGAGACAGAGTCTTACTATGTTGCCCTCAGTAGAATGCTGTGGCATCACAGCTCACAGCAACCTCAAACTCTTGGGCTTAAGTCATCCTTTTGCCTCAGCCTCCCAGGTAGCTGGGACTACAGGCACTCACCACAATGCCCGGCTGTTTTTTTGGTTATAGTTGTCGTTGTTTGGCAGGCCTGGGCTGGATTTGAACCCACCAGCTCTGGTGTATGTGGCTGGCACCCTAGCTGCTTGAGCTATAGGCGCTGAGCCTTCATAAGCTATTTTTTGGTTATAATAATTCTTACTGGACAGAGTTTGTTAATCTCCATCCTGCAAATGGCCATATAACTAATGCTCTTAGGAAAGGGATTTATTCTCAGTTCTTTCTCATGTAGCTGTTTCATGCAGAAGTAAGAGCTTGTGCAGGTCCAGCCATACCTCATGTGTGTCTGTATTTGTGACTAGTGGTACCTGTTTGTGAGACAGCCAATAGGGTTTGTCAAATAGGCTCTACTGGAAGAATGGATGACAAAATCTGACTTCAGTTTGGTGATTTATTCACAATTGTTGCTATTTCTCACCAATCTCATCTCTAGGCATTTTGAAAGGACATCATAAAGCATAATTCAATGCATATCTCTGACAGGTGATTACTAATTTTCTTGGACACTTCTAGCAACAGGAAGCTCTATGCCTCAGAAAATCTTTGTTTGTTTTGGACAAAATAGGAGAGTAACACTCTGTAAATGAAGAGACCAATCCGAACTCCTTAAACATTCCTTACTTATGGAATTGACACACTTAAACATAGATTTGTAAATGTTTGGGGGTTGATTGTCTTGGGGGAGGGGGCCCTGCCTGAGCTCTGTGACCTGGAGCCTCTGTCTGTCACAGCAGAGAGATGTGTGACCACCAGAACTCCTTCACCATGTGTCCACTGTGTGACAAGTCCTGTGATTACTGGAACCTCAGCTCAGCCTGCGGAACTGCGCGAGCCAGCCATCTGTTCGACAACCCGGCCACTGTCTTCTTCTCCATCTTCATGGCCCTATGGGGTGAGTGGTCAGGGTGATACCTTCAAATGGGTGCAGCCAGCTAGCTGTAATGCTCATACCCTCCAGTTTACTTACTTTGGTATTTTTTCCTTCATCTCCTAGGAAGTATTTTAGGGTTAATACTTTCTTTACTTGCATGTGTGACTAGAAATAGGAATATCCTGCATGGCTTTGCCTGTTTTCTCTTAGACATAGTTGTGCTAACCCTGCATGAGTCTTATGCATAATTTATTCAGAATCTGAACCAATGCGTATTTTGAAAACCCCTGGCACACCCATGAGACACCTCAGTTACGTTCACTTCATTATGTGAGATCGTCTGTGTCATGTGGTGCAACCAGAGAGGCAGAATGACCGTCATGGTCACAGAGTTAGCTGGTATTAAAGTGGGCTGAAATCTGGCGTCCTGACTGTAGGTTCAGTGTTTTTTTTTTTGGGATGCGATGAGTGTTGGCTATAGAGGTTTTATTTAAGGCCAGTGTAATGTTTTCAGTATTTCCACCAAAGGGATTTGTGAAGGGAAGAACAGATAGTTCCTTCATTTTCCTCCCCCTTCCTTACCCCTAGAGCAGTGGTTCTCAACCTACCTAATGCCATGACCCTTTAATATGGTCCCTGTGGGTTGAGAACTGCTGCCCTAGAGTGTCAGTGTAATATCAGCTGCCCTATAGTGTAATATCAGCATAATAAACTTACTCTGAGCCATCACTGTCTGATCACGCATGCACACACACACACACATATACTCACTCTCACTCCTATTCTCACAAACTGCAATAATCTGGAATAACCGCCCCAGGGTAACTGAACATTTCTAAGAAAACACACCCGTGTGTATTAGAAGACAGGCCACGTCATTATGTTTCAGCTCGTTGGAGTAGCCCCCTGGTCTTTTCTCACCACTGAGTGTGCAGGCCCTTAGCTTTCCCCCGGGGCCACAGCCTGGCAGGACCACAGCCTTGCTGCAGGACAGCTTGATTTATCACTGACTCCGTGGGGCCTGGAGGACATGCTGGGACGGGCCCTGTCGCACATAGCCCTGAGAGGAGGAGGGGAAGGAGAGAGGGAGAAATCTATCCTCAGTGGCGCTAGGAGGACCCTCTTTCTCCATCACTGCAAGGACTTCTACTTGGGTGGAGACAGAACTTGACTGGAAAAATTCCCACACGGTGAGGCCACCGAGAAGAGTTTCCAGGGGTCAGTCTATTCTCTTTTGCTAGAGAGAGCAGCTGTTGTTCAGGAGCACATGGGCTGTGGTCAGCACCTCAAGAGTTGGAACAGGGAGGAGGAAATGCAAATTGTGACCACGGAGCTGGGGAATGGTTCGCAGGAAGGGTTAGTGGGACAAACGGAAGTTGAGACTTGCTGCCTGAGAAGTCCTAGGCAGCTCTGTGCCTTCCTAGCACGTGTCTTATAATTACCCCAGGAGCCATCTGAACTGGTTTGGAACCCAGAATCCATATTCATCTTTTTGATGTATTACAACCTTATTCCCATAATTTGTCTTGCAGATATTACCACCACTGAGTACATGAAACTTAATAATGCTGAATCCCTGATCTTTTGAGAACTTTCTTGGGACACGTAATCCCTTGTGTAGAGAAACGTGGCTTTTAATCATACTTCCCAGTCTCAAGTTCCCCCTAACTACCTCTTCCCTTTCCTGAATGGTTGCAGTGAGCAGACACCTCCCACCCCCTCTGAGAGCCTCACTGCTCATTGCCTCACCCTGGTTCCTCTCTCTTCCTCTGAAATCACAGTGCAGGGAAAATACTAGGGGGTGGGATGGTATTGGAACTTCTGGGCATGGGGGAGGGTTTCATTTTGTTTCTTTGAATAGTGTTGCTGTGTTTTATGTGATTGTGTACTTGGTCGCAGCAGCCGAAAGCCCTTAGGCACAATTGCCTACAAATTACAATTAAAAATAATAGTAATGCCTGAGAATGCCACAAGTGTTATGATTAGTGGTTCCGTGCTGGGTGGGCTGGGCTCAGGAATGCCCAGAATGAGGCCCAGAATGAGGTTCTATGCAGAGATGCAGGCTGGTGGTGGCAGTAGAGGTGATGGTAGCTGAGGTCCTAGAGGATACTAGACAGCGGGACTGGAGTCTGTCAGAGTCCTCAGACCCAGCTCCCCTGTGGTTCTGGCTTCATACTTGATCTTAGCCAAAAGGCAGAGAAGTGATGTGGTTCTGGCTTCAAACTCCAGTGAGCTTTGGGAAAGAGAATGAAGCCCTACCGGAAAGGGAAGTAATGAGACAGGGCCAGTGAAGAGAGGTCAAGGACACTGATGTAGGGTCAGGCAGTCCTAACTGTCTCAGGGGCTGACCCGCTGGGGATCCCATAGCAAGTAGACATGGCACTGAAGCCAGTCTCTTAACCAAGGTGCCATGTTACTCTGGGCATACCCACAGTGCTTTGTGACAAGAGAGTAAGGTGTGTGCAAGGTATGTGGTATAGATGTGCACCCGGGAACCCAGGTTGCCCCTCCCACATGTGATCCCCCACACCCTGGTCCCCACCACTTCTCTGCCCTCATCTGTTCCCACAGGGCACAGCCTTCCTCGGGACTGAGGAGGGTGCACAGGCAGTGGAGGGTGCATGGGAAGAGGAGGGACCTGCCCCTGTTCTCAGAGCATCCCCAAGCCAGGGCCAGTGTTGGGAGGTCAGAATACCCTCACGTGGAAAAGGCCTCAGGGGAGAAAAACACACACATCAGGGCACCATAATGGAGCTGCAAGTCAAGCAAATACAACTTTAAGTAACCAGCACATGGCTGTTTCTGTGCTCAGTTCCGCATTGTGCCCAGACTAGACATGGGCAGTTAAGAGCCCAGCAGGAATTTACAGTCCTGTTTTTACACCACACACATGAGTGGCAGCTGACGGTCCAGCACAGCACATGGTGAAGTGTGCTCAGGAGTGGCCTGAAGCTGCAGGGAGTGACGTTGCTTCCCTATCCAGGAGCCATGACCAAAGGCAGCAGGAAGACAGGGTGCCATATGGACTGACTTTCTGGAAAAGGGGGACTTGAGCTGGGTCAGGAGGGGATGAGGGTAGACACGAGAAGACAGTAATATAGGAGGAGACCATTTTCATAAGCTGGGGATGGAGAGGTTGGTGAGGAGATGCCCAGCAGCCTCACAGGTGTGCGTGTTGACAAATGTGGGATGAGACCCCGGCAGGTGATTCGGGTAGACACAAGCCACCCTGGTATCCAGAGAGAAGGACATGTTCAGAGACTGTAATGACCCCTGAGTTGAGGCAGCAGCACTGGCCTCCTGCTCTGCCCGTTCCTCCTTCCTTGCCCAGACCCCACTGCTCTTCAGAATTCAGCCCAGATTTCCCCATCTCTGGCAGCCAGCGGCCCTCTCCTGCAGGCCCACAGCTTTTCTCTGTCACTCTTGAGGCCCTGATCACTTTATGTCTTGCACCGTAGGTATTTATGATCTCGTCTCAGGGGCTGTAAACAACTTGAGAGCAAAATCCACATCAGACTCTCCTAATCCCACCCCCATGTCTAGAACAGTGTTTTGTACGTTGCAGATACCTTAGGCAGAGCTGTGTTTTTGCAGGATTAGAAATTTACTCAAATTACTCAAATAACAAGAGATTTATTGCAAGAAAGCAAGAGGCAAGCTCCTGGATGAAGGAAGTGAAATATAGCCTGGCCTCTTGGGAGCAGAACTGGAGAAGCTATTAGAAACCACAGGCTTCCCTCTCCTCAGGTGCTGCATGGGCTTGCTCTCCCATCCCCGCTTCTCTTAGTGTCTCTTAGTTTTAATTTTCTAAAGAGAGAATCTGATCAGTCCGTCAGCAGGCTCCAGATCAGTGTTCAACTCTGGTGAACAGCCACAGGAGGGCTGCAGTGCCAGGTTCCTCCCAGGGCAATGCTGGGCTTGCCCTTCAGGGGGTGTGGGTGGGATGGGCAAAGTGACGGATGTGAGGGTAAAGGAGGCATTCTACAGATATTTGCTAAGTGAATGGAAGAACGAATGTGTGCCACTTTACAGAGGTCATTCTGCCAGCTGCATGCAGGAGGGCTCAGGAGGCTGAGAGTCTGGGGTCGCGTGGAACTGTTAGGAGAATTCTGTGTAACCTTTCAATGAGATGAGTAGGGCCCAGAAAAGGGCAGTGGCTCTGGGGACTGGAAGAAAGAAGTGGAGGGAAAAGTGAGAATTCTGATTCAGGGCAGGAAGGAGCCATGTATGGCACAGGGAAGCTAATTACAGACCCCTTCATATTTTACTTTCTCCATCCCTCCACTCTTCCTTCATTTCTTGGGATCAGTATTTAGACATCTCTCCCTGTCTAGAAATGGAGAAAGGAGTGTATATATCTCTTGGCTCTCAGGGATGTGGACTACTTCAAGCAGTTCCAGCTAGACGTAGGAAGAGGGGGCTAAATGCTTTAAAGAGAGCTCTTAAATTTGCAATCTACAAGTTTACCCCCCTCTCTGCCAGCGAATCCAAAGGGTACTCAGAACACGCTCTTCAAAACTAATAGAGTTCTCTTTTTCTTTTTAAGCTACTATGTTTCTGGAAAACTGGAAGAGACTACAGATGCGACTGGGCTACTTCTGGGACCTGACTGGTATAGAGGAGGAGGAAGTGAGTTCTGTTGCTTGTTTCTGCGGGCCCTTGCTTTGCTTTGACTCTGGAAATGGATTGTCTCGAGGCATATGGCCACACTGTCCCTGTTTGTGCAGACTGGCTCCGCGGGCTGAGCCGTGGGCCGTACACACTGAGGTGACCCCTTCTTCCCTTGAGCTGGAAGACATTGGGCCTGATGGGTAGCCAGATGTCCCAGTGCCCTACTCTGGGAAGAGATGGCACAAGACACAAGAAAAAGAGGCAAAGAGTATCCTTGAGAGCATGGGGCCAGAGAATCAGGGATATGTCAGATGCCTCTGTGGGCTAGTAGGGGGCTGGAGAAGGCAGGGGTGCCAGATACTGGTTGCCCTTGGTGCCTGTGGAAGAATAAAGAAGCCTCTATGGTGTAAGCCAGAGCACTGGCGTGGAACCGGAGGGTGAGCTAAGGCGAAGGGGGAGGGTCTTTGGGAGCCTAGCTGTCTGTAGAGATGTTGTCTAGAGTGTAAACAAATCAGCACCCCAGCCTCAGTGATGGTGACTTTAATGGGCAGTGTGTGGTGATTGCTTCTGTGATCTACTCCCACTGTAGCTCCTGCTTCTCTAAACAGCAGCCCCACATGGGCTCAGTGCTTTGTCCCCTCTTCTTCCTCCTAGTTCACTGAGCTCTCTCTGTTCTCACCATTAACACCTGCAAGGGCTACTGATACCATGTGCCACCATGAACTGAAGAGCCAATGTGATTATCAGATAGGGACGCCCAACGTGTGGATGCTACTGGTGAAAGGCAACGCTGTCAGTAGCACAGGCAGCCCCAGCCACAGGGTGGCTGCACAGAGCACAGGCTGCCCTGCACTTCCCAGCAGTGACTGATGGGCTTGTCTTGGACTTAGAACCTCTGCCTTTGTGGCCCTGATGTTTTATGAGCAAACAGTGGAATCCCCAAGTTAGTCTGTTCTCAAGCCTTGTGTCCCCATGTCTGTGGTGTGTTGTCATTACCTATTTTTAAAGCTCTAGTTAGTCAACTTGCCTTTGCTCAGGAGGGTTAGGAGTGGCAGGAGCCACAGGGCAGCTGCATGGAACCTGCCCATCCAGGTTGTGCTGCCTAAAGGTGCTGGGCGGGGAGCTCTTCTCTAACCTCTGTGGGTCTTCACTTGACTGCACCCTATCCCTCTCCACCCTGCCGCATGCGCTGGGTAAATAAACCTGCTCTCCAGTCCTAGGCATTACACACATACCCTAAGACTAACACTGTCATGGATTCTATAGCAAGAGAGAGCATGTAGGCCAGGTGCAGTGGCTGGCACCTGTAATCCTAACACTCTGGGAGGCTGAGGTGGAAGGATTGCCTGAGCTCAGGAGTTCAAACTGAGCAAGAGTGAGACCCTACTCTACTAAAACCAGAAAAACTAGCCAGGTGTTTGGGTGGGCACCTGTAGTCCCAACTACTTGGAGGCTGAGGGAAGAGAATAGCTTGAAACTTGGAGTTTCAGGTTGCTGTGAGCTATGACTCTATGGTACTCTAGCCTGGGGCAACAGAGTGAGACTTGTCTCAAAAAAAGAAGAAATAAAGAAAGTGAGAGACAGAGAGACAGAGAGATTGTGTACATATGGATTCTGCCTTTAGCAGGATTTGAATTATTTAGAAACACAAACAGTGGAGGATAACAGAGACAATTGTATTTCTTGGAGGAAAATGCCTAAACTGGTGGTTCTAATAGAAAGAGCTACAGAAGTGAGACTGTGGGTGATCTAGTCGGGACATCTTTGTCCTATTGGTTGGTCCTATTTACTTCAGCTGAAATCTATCTTGTGTGTGTGTGTGTGTGTGTGTGTCTGCATATGAGAGAGAGAGAGAGAGAAAGACTTTTGCTTGGGGGAGGTGGGTGGAGTGCAGTTCCTACTCTCCTAATGAATGCAGGGCGCTAGGATGTCTGCGCAAAAGAAAAGAAGAAACCTCCTGGCATCCAAGCCTGTGTGGGGCCAAAGACAAGCTAAATGTGTCCGCTAAGTTGAGTCAAGGAGGCCCTCACGTCTCTCTGTTGGAGAGAGTGTAAACACATTCCCTCACACAGAAAAGCATCAGCTATAACTCAATACCCTTGAAATCTCTATAATAAGCCCCTGGCAGGAATGAGATGATAATCCATTTTTCTTTCTGTAGTCAGGTTTCCTGTTTATCTGTTTAACCCAATGAGCCATGGTAACTTCCTGGGAGGTACACGATTTGAGGAACTCGTGCGCTGGCTGAGAGTGGCTTGGCTGAGATTGGGTTTACCCATGGCACAAGCAGACGGGCCTGATGGGGTCTGCGTGTGATGTTACTGCAAGGCTGGTTGGTTGTGTTGCATGGCTGGCATGCACCACATGTGCATAGCCTGGGGCCAGGCACGAATGAGAGGTAGATAGCATGGTGCTTTCCCTCAGTGTATTTCCATTTTGGATTGGCGCACACAAAATTTGGCTCAATTCTGAACATAGCCTTTAAGCACATGTCATGTACCAGGTTTGGCATGGAGGGTGGGACCACTCAGGTGCAGTGTCTGATCTCCAGAGGGTCACATTCAGCAGGGTACTGTCTGGTCTGCAAATAGTTAGCATAACACAGAGGGTATATGAAAGGAATCCCTCTGGGGAATGAAGGCAGAGGAAACACTTTTTAAAAAGCAGGGTTTTGAAGACCGGTTGACTAGAAGGGGCATCCATAAGGAGAAAACAGCAACAGAAGCTTGGCCCTGGGGAAGTGAGGGCTGTGGGTAAGAAACAGCAAGATGCCTGCAAAGTCAAGTTGGCTGCAGGGAACAGGGCTCTGAAGGCAGCAGGGAGGGATAGGCAAGGAGGAAGGATGGTGTGGGGTGGTCAGGGAGGTTGTTGATTGCTAATCCTTGCCCGCCAGCCGTGGGAAGGCATGGAGAGCAGGATAGCAAGGTGCCTGTGACTTGAACGAGGAGGGTCCTGGGCCCTACAGGAAGCATTGTGTGTTGAAGCAAAGGTCTAAGCTACATTTAGATGAGAGGTAAGAGCAGGGCAGGGTTCTTGTAGGCCATGATTCTCCCAGAATGAGGAATGCTTGCCAGGCTAGCGAGCTTCCGAACCTCCAGTTTTCCCTGTGTTCTCTTGCCTCCTCAGGGGGAGGGAGGAAGCTAACTCACACATGCTCCAACTTGTGGGCCACCCCAGGAGAGGTGGAATGAGATGCGTGGCTGAAGTCCAGCCTGTGACCCAGGGAGAAACCACAGAAGACTGGAGACTCCTTTCTTACAAGGGCAGGGAGGGAACCGAGCAAACAAACCCAGTGAGCCAGTGCTGCCCCTGCCTACTGGGTTTCCCTGTGGGCACCGGCAAGGGACTTACTGAAGGACTCAGTTGAATCCTGTTTGTCCTTGTAGCTGGGAGGCCTGCAGCACCTCCAGAGTCTTACTTTGAAGTGAGGTTAATCTTCAGTCCAGAGGGGTCTCTTGCCTAATTAGCTTCTGTCACATTCTGGGGTCTCTTGGAGACTGTTGCCTTATTTTCCATCCCTCACCTGTCACATCAAGCTTTAGATGTCCCCAATGGCTTTCTGTCACTCAGGAAACCAAATCCCTTGCCTAGCTTTCTGGCCTCCGCTTGTGTTTCCATTCACAGGTTCTGCCCCAGGTTCATCCCAGTCTTTTCATGGGCTGTTGCTGCTGTGCAGAATACTATTCCCCCAGTGTCCACCTGGTCTGCACTGTCTTGGCTTTTCTGTCTCTGTAGACTGTCACCTTCCTCCTGTTGGTCTTCTCCACCCCCAATCTGTAGCAGCCATTCCCCTTTATTGCTTCTTTTGTTTTATCTTCATCTGGGAGTTTCCTACTTGTGTATGGGTTTATTTACTGCTACCTTCCTCCACTTGAAAATATGCTTCATGGAAGGAGGGAGGTTGTCTCCAGGACCAGTGTTGTTAGCCTCAGTGAGTGCAGCTGACTCTTGGTGAAGACATTTATTGCAGGCATTTCTGGATCAACCTCTTTGGATCAGCCCATGGGTGGACCTGGGCTGGTCCAGGTTCTTCTCTCGGGCCTGCTCCTGAGGAGACCAGAAGGGAATAGTTCCCAGTAGTTCCCAATAGATCTCTTGCTGAGAGGCGTGATGCATTTATGATGTTTTGGTATCAGATCATGCCATCCAGGGAGGTCGTGTCTGGGGAGCATCAGGAGTTGTGCAGGTCTGCCCATAGCTGGGTGTGTCAAAGCAGCCCTCTCAGGGTCTAGACTACGCTCTGGCCAGACACTCAGTTGTCCACTTTGAGGGGTTTTTCAACCTCACCCAGCCTACTTGGCTGCAAACAGGGAGATCCTTGTGTGACTTGCTTCAGCCCAAGTGCAGAGCTGCCCAACTCTGATTTGAGTTTCAGACTTTTCCTGTCCATGTGCCAATAAAGCTGGGCTTGTTCTAAAAAGATGAGGGGATCAGCATGGGGGAGATGGGGTGGGGCACTGGCACACCTAGAAGGATACAAGGAAACTCCTTTGTGTGACATCACAGCATGTCTTAGAAAGTCAGAGGTGGGTGCAGATATCCTCCTGGTCTGTTAGGAGAACCTCCCTCAGCCCCTTTGCCGGGCACAAAAGGGGAGACAGTCACCTGGCTCAAAAAGGTTTGGAAGCCACATCCTGGTACTCACCAAGAGACACTGCTACAGTTTTTATTAAAATCTTCCACTGGAATAATGTAGAAGAAAAGCAAGGCAATTTCAGGGGCCATGGGAAATTCAAATTACATTTCTCAAAGAAGTATTTCTGCAGGACAGAAATATTCATCGTTAGAGTCAAAAAGTTCTTCTTTGCAGGCCTTTTAATATGCTCATCATGGCTCTCAGAAAGGTGAAACGTCGTGCAGTGTTTTCCGATCTTTTAGACCCCAGAATCCTTTTTTAGCTAAAAATCTCTCCGTACACACCTCAGGAAATGGTGTGTTGGAGAAGGAATGAAGGTGAGAGACAAAAATCAAACGCCCTTCACGAGCATTTAGAGATTGCTGTGTGTTCTGCGTGGTGCCAATTACTGTGAGAAACATAAAGTGATAACAAAGCCGGTAGCCAGTCCTTAGGTTAGGATAAGAAGATTCTCAGGTGCGAAACAGCGAGGAAATAGTAAAAGAAAAACACACAGGCAAGAGCTACAATGTGTGGTATAAGCTATAAAACTCCAGGAATGCAGAGAGGAAGGAGACTCCATCTGGTAAGTATGTTGCAACAGTCAGAGGAGGCCTTCTGGAAAGTGGGAGTGGCCTCTGCTGGGTGACGATGGAAGGCGTTAGAAGCCCTTGGTTGGCATCTCCTGCTGTTGTATTATTGGTTATGCTTGTCAGGGACGTGGTTTCTCCTGTCCGATATCATGGCGGGGCTTGCGAAAGCCAGAGGCAGTTCAGGAGCTTGGCTTGTTGGCCTTTGAACTCTTCTGACATAGGGACGGTGATAAGGTGATAAGGGAATGTTTATTTCTAAATAGTGGAGCGCCTCTCTGAGTCAGCACCTGAATCCCTGCCCAGGAGTGATGGGTAAGTGACATGAAGGCCTCACACCTGTAGATATTTGTCCTTGAGCTGGAAGCTGCAGGGAAGACCTGCCAGGGAGACCAGGTGTACACTGTTAAATTCTCTTTGAAGTGAGTCATGCATCTTCCTGCCCCAGCATCTGTGTTGCTTTGACCATGGCCCTGTGGATTAGTGAGGTGTTCTTTCCCATGCCTAGTGACTCACGAGTCAGGTCTATAGTGCTGAATGGCCCAGCAATGTCTCCTGAGCACTGGTGTACTTGCCAATGAGTTACTCACCTAGGCTGCACAGGAAACAGGTCCAGGCACGTGAGTTTTAAGATTCCCCATGGCCGCCTTTGACTTTGATGTTTATTGGTCGCCGTTGTAGCTCATAGAGTAGTGGAGCAGAGAATGCGTTTTGTTGTTGCCCTGACTCCCAGCTGTGGGGCACATCTGTTTCTCCAGCTGGGATTTGGCTCATTGAAAATGAGAGATATGAGGATGGTTGGTGGGATGGCCAGATGTATCCCTCTGCCTTGGGTCAAACTGCTACGCAGAGCACGTGGCTCCTTTCTGAATCAGCCACCTCATTAACATTTCCTCTCTCCTTTCTCAACACCGGCGCTATCCCCAGGAGCGTGCCCAGGTTTGGTTTTCAGTGTGGTAACAAATGTCGTGTGTCCCTTATCTCTGCCCCGCGTTGTATTCTTCTGTTTAGGATGTTATGTCTAGTGACTGTGTGTGACGTGGCCGTTCACATCCCGTAGCGTCCAATCCTAAACCCTGACGTTAATGTACGTATGGTGTCTGGTGATGATTGGCAGCCAAGGTCATGCTCTCTCTGTGTAGTAACCAGCGTCTGATGCTTTGGCTTAGGAACATTCCCGGCCTGAGTATGAGACCAAAGTTCGAGAGAAAATGCTAAAGGGGAGCAACAAGTCGGTTGTCCAGAAACTGGAAGCGAGCACGCCTGAGGACGATGAGGTAAGGCGATGCTGCTCTTCTCTTGTCATCCCCTTAACGTGTTGTCATTTAGTTTGGAACTCTTGGTGAAGGGAGACCGGGCTGCGAGGAAGGTGATGGGGGCAAGAGGGTACGGGAGCACGACATTGCTCACTGTCCTGCAGCCGGATCTCGGGGGAATAGGCTTCTGCCGTGACTTGATCTGCACCTCTTTGCTAGTGGGTGCTGCATGGACAAAATGGGAGGGCAGGTTGAAAAAGAAAGAAACTGTTTTGGGCCTGGTGCCTCTGGATACCACCACCTAGATGTCGAATAATAATGACCTTACCGAATGCTTGCTCTCTGCCAGACACTGCTCAAAGTGCATTATGTTGTCTTATTTTAGTCTCACAAAAAAAATCTGTGAGGCTGGTACTACTGTAATGAGAACTCATGAAAAGAATTATATCCACAGAGTAAGTCATTTGCCAGAGGTCACATAGCCAGTAAACGATGGGTAGACCTTGAATTCCAGTGCGGGTCTCTTACAGTCTGTGTAGGTAACCACCATGCATACTGCCTTCTAAAACCTGTGGGGAAGTCAAATCCTGAGACAAGAAATGGCTATTGGGGCCAGTAGGGGCGTACTTGTGTCTGTGTTTGCTGGAGCTACTCACAGGAGGCTCCTTACATTTCATTTTATCTGGGTGGGCCTCTAAAAGGAGAAACACAATGGTGAACATGTCCTTTGAGTCACCTTTCTGAGTTTTATGGTGGCTTCCAGTCGTTAAAACAGAGCTTCATAATTTTTGCTGTGATCTGTGAATACTAATAGTATATGCGTGGGTGCACGTGTATGTATGTGTGTGTGGGGGTGCTCCTTGAGAGTTCCTGCTCTGAGTGCCACCCTCTTTGAAACCAGAGGACTGTGAATGTGTGTGTGTGTTTATGTCTTTCCTAATCTGGTTCCTGAAAAAAAAAAATCAACAAGATTGAAAATCTGTTACTTTTACATGTATCTTTTCTCCATCTTGGATTTGAATTCAAATTTCATTTCATTTTACACTCTTTAAGTTGGAACCATTCTTTTAACATGCAAATTTATGCAAGCATCAAAACAGAAGAATGTGGTGTTTTTGAGCACAAAACACGCGCTTTTTTTTTTTTTTTTAAAGAAAATAGGAATTAAACTAAAGAGAGAGAGGGTGGTCCTCTGAGTTTTTATTTTTTTAGATGAAGAGCAAATCCAAGACCACCAGTTATTTGGGGGAAATAATGAATTCGTTCTTAGGAAAGACTAATCATCACTGCCACCCTCATCAGAAAGCAAGTATTCTCTGTTCTGTCAAGCTTCGGCAACGCCGTGCAAACTTCTTTCTCCACCCCAGAGGAATATACAATGGGTAATTTTATGGAAATCATATGTAACTTTTATTGACCACTGACTCATTTAATTTTAATTCCATGGACGGGAATGCCAAGGAGCTGGAATTGCGTACATTGAGGCTGTGGTTCTAATATAAACATTGCTTGGATATATATGCATGATAGGTCAAATAACTTTCAGGAACCATGAATAATTAAAAAACATCTGAATGCCTTATAAATGATACATATGTTTATGTTTTAGCATTCAACATCTATTTTCATTACACTGTTGAGAATGCAAAGCTCAAAGCCTCTAATGCCTTATGAACACTAGGGAGAAATGGCCCTCCCAATGAACAGTGCAAGATGAAAATGGCCTAGGATTTGATCGTCAAGATCCCTGCTTGTGTTCCCTCAGTTCTGTAATATTGTCAGTGCTTCCATTCCTGCTGCACATCCAGCCATCCGTGGGAGGTAAAGATGGAGCGCATGCTACCATCTAATGGGAGAACGTGTCAGTACCCACTACAGCACACAGCTTCTGGGGCACCATTGTTTCGTTTAGGAAAGGCACCTTCTTCTGGGGAATAGACAGGGACTAAGGATGCAACTCTAGCTGGTGGTTGTAGATGTACATTTTTCATCCTAGAGGATCACCTGGGATCCACCTTCACCATGACCCTGAGGCCGCACATCCCTACCTCTCCTTACTTGCCTGTTGGATGATAAAAAGCTACCACTAACCGAGGCCCAGAATGGTGCAGGAATTTGCCTAAGACCACAGAGCTAGTTTAGGGGGGAACTGGTAATCAAATCTAGCTCTGGCTAATCCTCAAGGCCCATTGCTTTTCTTTTGCTTTTTACAGATACCAAGTTCATTTATTTTAAAAAAGATTTTTATTGAGATTCAATTTTATGCCCTAAAATTCACCCATTTAAAGTATACAATTCAGTGGTTTTAATGTGTTCACAGAGTTATGCAATTGTCACCACAATTTAAGTTTGAAACCTTCTTATTATCTCAAAAAGAAATCCTGTGCCCAGTAGTTCCCAAGCCCTGGGCAACAACTAAGCTACTTTCTGTCTCTGTAGATTTGCATACTTGGGACTTTCATGTAAATGGAATCATATAATACATGGTCTTTAGCTTCTTTCACTTAGCAGAGTTTTTTCAGGATTCATCTGTGTTGTAGCATTTATCAATACTTCATTCTTTTTATTGGCAAAAATAATATTCAATTTTTAGGGTCTGCCTCATTTTTTATTTATCCATGCATCCATTGAGGGACATTTGGGTGGTCTCTACTTTTTGACTGTTATAAATAAAGCTCCTAAGAAAATTTGTGTACACGTTTTTGTTTGGCTGAATGTTTTCATTCACTGGCTGCATACCACTCTTGGGAGCAGAATTGCTAGGTCATATGGTAAATGTGTGTCTAATATTTAAAAATATTGTCCTGTACTATTTAATATTTTTCATAATGGCTACGTTATTTCACATTCCAGCCAGCAACGTGTAAGGGCTCAAATGTCTCCACATCCTTACCAACACTTACTATCTGTCTTTTTTTAATTTTCTCCATTTTGGGGTGCAAGATGGTATTTCACCGTGGTTTTAATTTGCACTTCCCTAATGCCTAATGATGTTAAATATCTTTTCTTGTGCTTATTGGCCATTTCTATATATTCTTTGAAGGAATGTCTATTAAAATCCTTTGCCTCTTTCAAAAATTGAGTTAATTGGCTTTTTATTATCAAATTGTAAGAGTTTTTTACATTATGTTGGATACCAGTCTCTTATCAGATGATCTACAAATATCTTCTCTAGTTCTGGAGATTGTCTTTCCCCCTTATTGAAAACATTTAGAGCACAAATATTTTAAATTTTGAAATAGTTCAATTCATCTATTTTTCCTTTTGTCCCCTGTGCTTTAGTGTCATATGTAAGAAATCATTGTCTAATCTAACGTCATTAATATTTACTTTTAGGTTTTCTTCTAAGAACTTTATATTTGAAACTCTTACAGTCAGGTCTCTAATCAATTTTGAGTTAATTTTTGTATGTGATGTAAGGAAGGGGTCCAAATTTGTTTTTATTTGCATGGATTCACTTGTCCCAGCATCACTTGTCCCATTTGTTATTACCTTGATTTTATTCACTTGTCCCAGCACCATTTGTTATTACCTTGATTTTATTCACTTGTCCCAGCATCATTTGTTATTACCTTGATACTCTCCTTGAAAATGAATTGATTACGAATGCAAGAGTCCATTTCTGGACCTCAGTTCTATTTTATTCATCTATTTGTCTGTTCTTTTTTTTTTATTAGATCATAATTGTGTACATTAATTCTATCATAGGATACAGTGTGGTGCTACCATATACAGTTTGGAAAACTCTCATCCAACTGGTTAGCATAGACATCATGTCTTTCTCATAATTGTGTTAAGACATTTATATTTGACCTTTAGACAAATTCACATGTACCCTAATAGGATAAATCATAGGTGTGATCCCCACAATATCATTCTCTTCACCCATCCTCCCCCCTCCCCTCCCCCCTCCCCTTTCCCCGTAGTCTTGCACTCCATTTGGATTATAGCTTTCCTATTTGTCTTTCTTAATGCACGTCTCGATTACCATGTCTGTGTGGTAAGTTTTTAAATTGAGAAGTATGAGTCTTCTGACTTTGTACATTTTCTTTTCAAAATTGTTTAAGCAATTCTGGATGCCTCACCTTTCCATATTAATTTTATGACCAGCTTGCCAATGTCTGCAAAAAAAAAAGCAAGCTGGGATTTTGATAGAGGTTGAGTTGAATTTGTAGATGAATTTGAGGAGTATTACCACCTTAACAGCACTAATCTTCTAATCTATGAACGTGGAATATCTTTCCATTTATTTTAGTCTTTATTTTTTTCAGCAGTGTTGTATAGTTTTCAGTGTATATGCTTGCACATCTTTTGTAAACTTATTATTTTATTCCTTTGGATGCCATTACAAATGTCATTTTTAAAATTTTAGTTTGGGATCATTCGTTGCTAATATGTAGAAAAACAATTGATTTTGTGTATCAATCTTATATCCTATAGCTTTTCTGAACTTGTTAGTTCTAATTGTTTTTAATGGATTCCTTGGGATTTTTTACTTGCAAGATCATGTCACTTGGGAATAGAAATAGTTTTTCTTTTTCTTTTACAATAAAGATATACTTTGTGTCTCTCTGTCATTGCTCAGTTGCCCCAATTAGAATCTCCCGTACGGTGTTCAGGAGAAGTGGTGAGAAAGGACTTCCTTGTCTTAGGAGAAAAATATAGTCTTTTACATTAAGTATGATGGGTCATTGCTATTTCTTCCTTGTTTTTAACTCTCTTTATAAGGCTTTTCTGAGAATAGTTCACATCATGTCAACATAATGCTGATCTGAAATGAAATCTCCATGATGTGATGACTATAGAACCGTATTGGGGAGAGGCAATGTGGTGAGGTCCAAAGGTTGACAGACTATGGGTCAGAACCCTGAGACAGTAATCATGGTCCTTTCTTCAGTAGCTGAGCCCCTTTCTTGGTCTCTTCTGCCTCAGCTGTCACATGGGGGGATTGGATTACACAGTTCTCACAGTCTGATTTTTTTTGCTAATGTTGGTGGCCAGCTCATCAATTTGGCTATTGG